ATTTTGTGTTTAAGACTTTCATTCATAGGGCCGGTATGGGCTGTCTATGACTCTATGGCACTTAACAACAACTAATAAATACAAACAAAAACAACAGCAATGTTTACTATGCTTTTATGATTAAAAATTATTTGCAAAACCCCAAGCATGACCAAACTACAAACATTATCCTGACCTTAATTCACCTACATCAAATCACCAATCCCCAAATACTCCAATGATTTAGTTAACATAAGATCGATCATAGAACCCAAGAGAAGTTCAAATGGTAAACAATTCTTTTGAAAGATGAGCTGGCTGAGGGAGCTCTGGTGGCCTAGTGACAAAAAGCTGCACTGCAATCCCAGAGGTGGGTGGTTTAAATCCACCAGATGCTCTGCTGGAGAAGGAGGAATAATGTCCTCCTCCTGTACCTGTCAGATCTGATTTGACAGTACACACACACAAAATAGTAAGTTAAAAAAAAGAAAGATGAGCTGGCAATAAAATCAAGCTAGTATGAATAAAAGTTTTATAACAAATGTAGCAGCATTATGCTTTTTTAAGTCAGTATTGATGAAATATTTGTTACAGAAAATAACATAAAATGATCAGGTCTACCCTGAAAGATGCTGACCTACTTGTTTAAAAGTGACTCTCATCCAAAATGGTTAAAATAAAAGTTTATTTCTATTTACTGTAACTATACTGGTGGCTTAGTGGTAAAGATACATGGTTTGGATGCACCAGCTGCTCCAGAGGAGAAAGACTGGCAATCTCCTGAAAATCTGCTCGATGTTTAGCTATGAGTTGTGTCAACACGATGGTGCAGGACAGACCAAGGTTCCACTCGGATGTTTCATAGGAGTATAGGAGTTGTAGATAACTTGATGGCAACTTCCAACCACAACATTCCAGACAGGGAACTCTGGCAATGGACTTCACAGGGTGATGCACTGCTAACAAAAAGGCCACAACTCTGGTGGTTTGATTCAACCAACAGCGTTGTGGGAAAAAGATGTGCAATCTCCTCCTGTGATTTTATAGCCTGAGAAACCTGATGGAGGGCCAGCTGTAAGTCAGTTCCAACTCAATGACAAGGAGAAAGTTAATTACTAAAAGCATATTTACCTAATTTATAAAATGCAAATGAATTGCTATTTGAAAACAAACTATGTTTTTTCCATATAGAGAATGACTTAAAGAATCTGTGAAAATGCATTATCATCTGAAGGTGAATTTAAGAAGAAACGAGAAAATAGGAGTCCAAGGGACACACTTACTTTCCTTTCCAGTCACCACCCAGTGAATATGCAAGATCATTTCCTTCTGCTATTCCTTACAAATATTCACCTTTAGAACTAAAATATCTTTGGGTGATCTCTTCATAGTGTTCTTTCCCTTCTTCCTGTTCTGCTCAAGATACGTGCTCTTCTGTATTGCTGACAGATGTGATGCGCATCTTCAAGGCAGAATTACAATATTTAACTCACATACATTAGTGTTTTATATCTGAGATACCCATCATAAAAAGAAATGTAGCTATCAAAGTTGTATAAAAGTTAACACTTTAATTCCCTTCTCTTTTAGTTTCAAGCTATCATGTTAAGAGTTATTGAGTATTTAATGGCCAACAGCTTGAGAACCCAACTTCATACTGACTGACACTCTTCAATACATGTTAACACTGCATAAAAACATGCGTGCGTGCACGCACACACACACACACACATACATATCCACTACTCATTCACTCTCACAAGCAAGCATACACACATTTTCTTTCTTTCCAGAACAAGCAAGAATTACAGCTCTTTTGTTGATTGTTATAATTTTTGGAATGGTTCATAAATTTTCCAAATTATTTTAAATTTGAAATACTTTTCTCTTTTTTCTTTTTTTTCCCAATTGTGAACCATTCCATATTGCATCTTTATTGCAAAAGTCAACATGCTTTTTAGAAATTCAGATTGTAATCAATAAAACAAACATTACATATATGAATTTAAATGTATAAACAGTTAGAAATTCAACAATATCTCCTATTATACTATTACACAAGTTCACAATTTGTAAAAACTATAATACAGGCATTCCATATATCAAGAGGAACCACTATTCCTTTTCACATGATTTTTTCCTTCATTTTGAAATAATGATCCATCACTTTTTAACCCTCATAGGACCATGTTTTCCAATTTATTATCTTGGCTGGTACAATCTTTCCAGACACGAATATTAATTGAGGAAAATTCTGCACATCCCTGGAACCATCTTTTAAAACTTGGACAATAATCTGCTAGTAAACCAGGCTTATCTAGCTGGATGGGTGGTAGTTACTGTTAACCAGCTACTGACAAAGATGTCACACACATAAAGATCAGCAGAATTTGCCTCTGATTCGCTTTGTTATTTCTAAAAATAAAGATGCCTATAAAACAAATTATGGTACTCGTTTTTAAGAGAAAAAGAATCTGGGGATTTGAGTTACAAATCTGAGAGGGGAAAGACCCATGTATGCGTAAACTATTTTATGCTAATCTTCACTTAAGCTTTCTAGTATTGTATCATTAATCTCAATTTTAAATTCATTTTTGAGGATAAAACATGTTTTAAAATTCTTACTAAGGGCACTTCTTAACCACTTTCGTCCTATTTAAGGTATACTGAAAACAAACTTTTACATGGAGGGTTTCAAACTTTTAATGGGGGGGGGGTGTCCAACTGGTCTTCACTGTAACACCTGTCTTTCAGTCCCCCTTCCTGCCCACCAGATAACTAAAAAAATTATAAATAATCAAACAAATCTTCAACTCTCTCTGTACTGAGAACATAGTATGATGTCAATTTTGAGATTAAAAATCATATGAAAAGGAATCCCATTCTGATTAACTGTCAGTTTACTGAAAATTTTCTTACAGTTCCATCAATTTACTGTAATTTTCAGTTTCCAAATACAAAAATACAACAATTCTTATTGAAATCTATACGCTGGTAGTTTTAGTACACAAAAAGGAAAAAAAAAGGGAAAGAAAAAAATTCCAAACAAATTATTTACAAAATTATACAGTTTAAGAAAAACCTTTGTACAAAAAATATATAAATCCTTTGTTCCCTCTATCACGTTTAAACTGTCAGGACTCAAAATATTCACCACAATGAATCTTTCAAAATATATACTGACTGAGCCACAGACATCAAGAAAATTTCATTAGAGATGATGGAGGAGGAAGGAGCAAGATTGCTTAATCAAGGAACCCCATTTGAATATTTTCCTTCTTTTATAAACTTATTTTAGCTTCAGTGTTATCAGAAATAAAATAACCCAGAAATACAAAGTTCTTAGTATTATTATGAAAGTAAAATTACATAAACTAAAAATCAAGCCTGGTTTAACACATCATTCCAGAAAAAATAGGCAGAAAGATGATCAGAATGTGGGATTTAACTTCTTGTAGCTAAGTGAATCTAGAATCCTGATGGTTTTAAGTTTCTTAGTGAATTATTCCTATTTTTTCTATGTTGAGAAATAAGTCTCTTATTTCAGCAAACTGCTTAATTCCGTGTTCACCAAGAACCACTGAAGCCAACAGGAAGTTTCAAATTTTCACACCACACTTATATAAAACCAGAGATGTGTATATTCTTGAAAATGTGATATGTAAGTACATCAATCACTTTATTTCCCCAGGGGTCAATACAGTGTAGTGTTGCTCCTCTGCTTTTCCATCTAACATTCAGAACACAAGGACATAAATTTACATATATATTTTACTTAACAGATACTCTACTCTATACAGTGTACAGTAAAAATGCACACAGTGAAGGGAATTGTCTATTGAAGGATGTGTATGTTTATGATAGCAACAAGCTACAAAATTATGAAAATATATGGTTGTCTGGTTAAAGTCAAGTTATGACTCTCATTTATTTCTAGCATACTCATCCCCCTAGCCCACCCTCATCCCACTCCCAGCAACCTCACCATCACAGTTCAAATTTAGGAAAAGAACTTCAGATATATTTGAACCATTTGTGTAACTATAACTTTCAAAATACAAAAAAAGCTAGTAACTTTCTTCCTTTCCCCTCCCTAACCCACAATCTCTACATTTTTCTCAAAATAGCAAAGTGCTAATTTAAAATTTTTATTGGTGACTGCCTTTTGGTGGCCAAAATGAGTCTCAATACTAGATAAGCATGTCAACTAATAAAAAGGTGAGAGAATGAAATGGGGGGCAAAAAGGAGCAACTGGTGAAAGCCTTTTATATTTTGAAAATTTTCTTTTAAAAAAAAACAGGACACCCTGAACCAACGCTCACCAAACATTAAAGCAAACTAGTGACTCAGTAGCAGGAAAAGTTCAAGAGAGTTAATATAAAGAGAGAAAGACCACTGGAGCTAACTACATCTGCCTTAAAATATTTTAGAACACAAGAGTTTGTTGGGATTTAAAGTGAAATAGTATTGCTGCACATAAAAACGCTGAAAATAATTTAGACTCAATAAATTGGGATCCTCCACAGTAAAAAAAAAAAATAAATTGTACTTTTCTCACAAGATATCTCTTGAAAGTTAAAAGGAATTTTAATTAAAAATACCTCCTACTGTTTGACGACACATCCATAATAGCTGAGAGTTAAGAGATTCAGGTGATTTTGACATTTAATGACATTTTATCAGCAGATCATACCCAAAATAAAATTTCTGAACACCCTGTCATGTACATCATAATCCAACACCAGTAACAAAAAACAAGTGGTGTGGAAATAAGGCTCTAGAGATTATCCATGTCGTTCCTGTGGATCTTCACAAATGTGTACAAGTCACTAGGCCTTTGGTGCTTTAATATCATGTACAGTTATGAGATGTGTTTAAATAGTAAACTTACTGTCCTTAAACTACTTAGTTGAAAAGAAAAATAAAAAAAATTTTTTTGGCTCATTGACGTCTTTAAATAATTTTAAAAAGTTGTTCTTCTAAACAATATTCCTAAAAATTATACAGCTCGCATCAGATTTCATCTTCGCCATGAACGAGACTCATATTCATCCTCATCTTCATCATCATCATCAGGCAAAAATAAATCTGAGGTTTCGGTTTCCTGAAGATAAAGAGGATAAAATTTGGTTAGTGGTACATGAAGGTACAAAATGTCTGGCAAAACGACAGACTAGTAACACAAAAACCAACGCTAGATTTACAGGTAATACACTTAACCTCTGAAAGAATACCTTTCACAGAAAAGAAAAAAACAAAATCAAAATTAATTTCTAGAAATTATTCTCACCATACCAATTCTCAAATTCCTCATCCTTTTTCTTATTTTTCTACACTTCCAAAGAGTGACTATTTTACTTCACTAAGCTGAAAAGTTCTAAATCTTCGAAAATCATTTCCACACAAAGGACTCTCAACAATAAAAGCTAGATATATTTTAAAACCAAGAGGATTACGTATCAGGAATAATTTGCTATGTATGCTAAGTGTACATTTTTATAAATTAATTAGGGATGTAAGAGTTAAAAGTAAAATTAATGTTCATATATTTTAAGAAGTTGATTCTTCAGTATTTGTATTATTTAGATCCTTAGCTTTCCACTTCTTGACTTACTTTCAACTTCTAAAAATTACTGTTTTAATTTTGTACACTCTAGTTTTAACCAATTCTACAATAAAGAAAAATTAAGAAAATCAAATATAACTTATGCTTGAATAGATAAAACGCTAAAACCAGCTAAAATGTAATTTGTTCATATAACCCATGTCTTCATTTACTAGAAAAAGAGAATTTATAAAATCCACATAAACAGAAGCAAATTAAAAAATCAGTTTCATCAAAAATAAAAGGATTTTTTTATATTTATGTACTCATTCTAATTATATCCTAGGCATATATGGAAGGAAACCCCAACCTATTTTTAAGTTATTCTATTTAGTTTAATACCAAGACAAATATATACTTGAGAAATAATCCAATTTAACTCATTTTCAAGTATTGCATTTACCTCCTCCTTGACTTCTTCTTCCTCAGTCTCAGTGGATATAGATGGTACCTTAGGCTTGTGCCATGATATTTGGAGTCGACGGTCTTTGAATTTTGACCCTTGATTTGCAGCCTAAAATATTTCAGAGACACATAAATTATACTCACATTTAATAAATAATTATATCTATTTTATGTTACTTAAATTTTGTGCTATTTAAAAAGTGTAGTGATTTGGGGTGGTAGTGGTTAAGACAACTGTTTTAAGGGAATCTAACAAGAATCAATCTGCAATGATAGAAAAAAAACCACATAATCCCTTTTAATTAGAATGCCTATATGTTATGGTTTGCCCAAGAATAGTCCATAGTTCATACCTATGTCCTAACTTCGAATAAATTTGACTTAGATGATAAATTACATATAGTTCCCCTACTTATAACAGTCATGATGATAAAGGTAACAAAGAATTTATTTTCTTCATAGTAAGTACTGACTTTTGGGTTAAAAATCTACTTACTTGGACTCAAGTCTTAAAAACAAATTATTTTTAAAGTAAGTGAATCAACTGTTTTCTAGTCACTTCATCACATTTCTTATAGGACAACTGTTACTAGGAAAAGGTATTCCTACTTACCCTTCTGAAACACTAAACATAATAAAGGATTCATCAGTTAAGTTTATGCATTCAACAAACTTTGTTAAAAAAAACCAAAATAATGATAAGCCCGAAATCACCATAAAACTGTTCAATTTAAAACTTGGGTTTTGGTATTACTTTCTAAGCAAAATTGTTTTTCCTCCTCAACAAACGGCAATAAGGAAGATTAACAGTTTCATATTAAAGACAAATAGCAGAGACAAAGGAACATGGCTCCAAAGTTTCACAGAAATAAAGCTCAGTCATCTCTAGAACTGCCCTATCCAATAATGCTGAATTACCAAATACTCTGGAAAAACACAATAGATAAAAACTATTCTATATAATGTGGGTTTGACTCAAGTTTGTCTAGAGAAAATGTTGACAAACCTTCGAAGGATTTGCAAAATTTATTCAAAAATGTTAGGAACACTGCATTTTAAGAGTGTATCCTAATGCAGATTCCTATTTAGTCAATTTATTCTTTGCAGAGACATCAATAGATGATCTAAAAAGAAATTCCTTAATTTTTTTTACCATATTAAATTATTTTTTTTTTTAAATTTCCATTCATTCCTTGTTGCACCTTTCTCTCCTCCCACACACACACCCCAGCCCCCAGTACACTACCCTCCTGGAAAAATAAAAGAAAAATGCTTTCATTGTTTTACAAACCCTCCCCTAGGTCCACTCCACCAAGCAGCCTTCACTTTGGACTCCTGTCATGACAAAAATACCTAATCACATATCCCTTGTGAAAACGGTTTTCTCCCTCATCTGTTTCAATGGAATATACATTATTGAACTTATCTTTCTCAGTCTCCTCCCACCCCCACGATCTGTCCTGTTTTACAACAGTGGCACCATGGAATATTTGTCCTTTTGTGACTGAGATACTTCACTCAGCATAATGGCCTCCAGGGTCACACATTTTGAATAATATTACATGCGTTCCTTGTTTTTCAATGTAGCGTAGTATTCCATTGTGTGAATATACCACAGCTTCTCTGTCCATTCGTCTGTTGATGGGCACTTAGGTTGTTTCCAACTCCTTCCTTGCTATTGTGAGCAAAGCCACAATAAACATGGGTGTACATATATCTGCTTGGATGTCAGTTATGGTCTCTTTGGGGTATATTCCCAGTAGTGAAATTGCTGGGTCAAATGGTATCTCTATTTGCAACTTTCTGAGAAAGCGCCATACCACCTTCCACAGTGGCTGCACCATTTTACACTCCCACCAACAGTGAATAAGGGTTCCAGTTTCTCTACAACCTCGCCAGCATTTGTTGCTTGCTGTGCTGTTAAATTTTGCTATTCTGACTGGGGTGAGATGATATCTCATAGTTGTTTTAAATTGCATCTCTCTTAGAGCTAGGGATTTCGTGTGCTTATTAGCCATCTGAACCTGTGCCCATTTTTCTATTGGATTATTTACCTTTATCTTGTTGTAGTGAAATTTCTAAATTTTACAGAAGTGAATTCTAAAAGCATACCAAATGTATTGTCACTTTCAACATACTGAACTTAGGTGTTAGCTGTTGTTGTTAGGCGCCATCAAGTCGAGTACGACTCATAGTGACCCTATGAACAGAAAATCTGAACCTAGTCTTGACCTGCGCCATCCTCACACTTAATGATACACAAGAGTCCACTGCAGTAGTCACCTTGTCAATCCACCTGACTGAAGGTTTTCCAAACCTCCTTTCCCAACATCATCTCCCTCTCCAAGAAACAGCACCTCCTAGCAATATATCCAAAGTATGTGAGGTTAGGCCTCATTATTCTTGCCTCCAAAGACACTCCAGCTGTACCCTCTCTAAGACATAAGACTGAAGGCCGCATTCCTTGATCTTCTGTAACAAGTGCTTCAAATCTTCCTCACTTTCAGCAAGTAAGGGCGTGTCTTCTGCATAATGCAGGTTTATTGATGAGTCTCCCTCCAATCCTGATGACACATTACTCTTCATAAAATCCAGCCTTTCAGATAATTTGCTCAGCATGCAGATTGACAGGTATGGACATGATGTACTCCCTTCTCAATTCTAAACTGTGCAGTGCTCCCCTGATCCATTAGCACAATAGCCTCCTGGGTCCAGGCATAGTTTCCTCACGAGCACATTCAAATGCTCTGGGACTCCCATTCTTCTCAATGTCAACCACAACCTGTTATGATCCACACAGTCAAATGCCTTTGCATAGTGATTAAAGCACATTTTTCTGGTATTCCTTATTTTCAGTCAGAATCCATCTGACATCTGCAATATTTCTGGTGTCTCGGCTTCTTCTAAATCCTGCTTGAACTTCTAGCAATTCCCTATCTATCTATGTTCCAGCTCCTTTTGAGTGGTCTTCAGCAGCATTTTGCTTGTATGTGTTATCAATGATACTGTTCAATAATTTCTACATTCAGTTGGGTCACCCTTCTTGGGAGTAGGAACAAATATGGACCTTCTCCAATCTGTTAGCCAATCAGTCATCCTCCAAATTTCTTGGCATAGACTTGTGAGTGCATCCAAGACTGCATTTGTTAACTGAAACAAGTCAATTGGTATCCCATCAATTCCTGGGGTTTTATTTTTTTGCCAATGCCTTCAATGTGGCTTCCACTTCCTCTTTCATTATTATTGGCTCCTGTTAATATGGTACTTCCTGAAATTTTACAGTGTCAATTAATTCTTTCTGGTGCAGTGACTCTGTGTACTCCCGCCATCTTCTTTTGATGCTTTCTGGGTCATTCAAGGTATTGCCCATAACATCTTTCAACACTGCAATGTTGTTGTTATGTGCCGTCGAGTCATTTGCAACTCATA